CCTGTCAAGCCAGACCTCTCCAGGAGTCTCAGTGAGACCAGGTGCAAATTGTTAATCTCACTCTGAACAGTAAACCATGCGGACAACTGGTACAAACTTCTGTGAAAGTCCTCAAAGCCACGGTTATATAGCAACACTATTAATCATTATATTTCATGCCTTGCCCAAGGATGGGTGCCATGTAGATGCTTTACCTAAACAGCTCGTGCCAATTCCAGGTCTGTTGGAATTTACCTCCCCTACCTGGCCTTGAGGAACTCCCCATGGGGCCACAGGTGTGGCTGAGGGAAGGAGGGAAGCAGTAGGAGCAAGTATGCAGTAGGACTCTGAGCCCCTCACTTGGGCAGGATACTTGTACCCAAGTAGTCAGGTCTAGTGCTATATATATCACTTCTATTTTATAATGGAATACTACTGTCTATGTCCAATGTGTGGTTCATATCAGGTTGCCACCCAGTTCATTTAAGCAGTTTGGCTCCCCTAGTCACTTAGTGTCCCATAGTCAGGCATTCAGTCTCTACCAGAGGCCAGTAGCAAGCCAGGAGCTACTTTTCCGATGGAGAAAGTTGTCATCAAAGGAGGGCATCAACTTACCATGTGCTGTGATTTTCCTACTGGAGCTTTCCAGAAATTCCAGAGAAATGCTCTAGACATTTCTAAGAACATCAGGGCTGGATAAAGCCCAAGTGATCGGGAAGCTGGCACCACAGGCTAGGCCTGCTGCAGAACCCTTCCTTGCTCTGGGCCCCACTCAAAACCATCCACTTTAATGGTTTCCCTACAAATGGGCTCCACACCCAAATATGGTATGTGGTGCCCCCCAAATCCAAACAGGCCCTAAAGCATTGTGCCTTTCTTCATGACGGGAGATACAAATTGCAGCCATTTCCTCTCTCAATTTAGAATAAATATCCTGAAATGTCCCAGACTACTGCGCCTCTAGCAACTTAACTGAAGTGACAGCCCCTCTCTTACCCTGTGACACTCGTGTACCGCCGCAGCGGCTGGAGAGCTTGCCATCTCCTGCTCACCAGGTCTAATTAGCATCGCGCACGGCAGTGATGCATGGGCACCATGGTTCGTATGCTGTTAGGACCGCTATGGTCCCTGGGAATGAATGATGTGAAGATAGCAGGAAGTTGACACAGCCCTAAGGAAAGACAGTAAAGTTTTAAATGTAAACTCAAATTATCAATACTTCTGATTTCCTTTACTCAGGAGGATTTAGAAAAAAGCATTCACCAGGTAAATGGCTGCACACCTGGTGCTAGGAGCCGACTTACTCCAACACCGCAGTACTTGCTCCGACAGTACCACATCAGAACCGCAGTCGGCATCGCCACCCGGTTCAGTTCGCTGTAATCTACGATCTCTCTCCTCAGCCCGTCTGCTGTTTGTACTGGCTGACAGGCAAGTTAAGTGGCAGTGTGGCAGGAATCATCACCTTGGCGTCTTTCAAGTCTTTGAGATGGCGCGACTCTCTGAACTTTTCTGAAGAATGCTGCGTTAGTCAGCTCGGGCTACCGTAACCAAACACCACAACCTGAGTGGCTTAAACAACAGAAATTTCTTTTCTGACAATTCTGAAGGCTTGACGTCCAAGACCGAGGTGCTAGCAGGGCTGGCGTCTGGCGAGGCCTGTCTTCCTGGAGTGCCAGAGTCTGCCTTATCGCCCGTGTCCTCACGGGGACTTTTCTCTGTGCTGATGGAGAAAGAGAGCGCTGGTGTCTCTTCCTTTTCTTATAAGAGCGCCGGTCCTAGCTGGGTGCAGTGGTGCACGCCTGCGGTCCCAGCTACTCAAGATGCTGGGGTAGGAGGATCCCCTGAACTGAGGAGTTCGATCGAGTCCAGCCTGGGCAACACAGCAAGACCTCATTTCTATTAAAAAAAAAAACAAACAGAACACCGGTGCTAACCAGTGCTATTGGACTAGGGCCCCACTCCTTTGATCTCATTTAACTAATTACCTCCTTAAAGGCCCGATCTGCAAACACAGTCACTTTAAGTGTTAGGACTTTAACATATGAATTTTAGCAAGGACACAATTCAATCCATAACAGACGTGATATTCCTTTTGGTTTACTATCCTTGGGGAGGGAAATTCTTCTAGGAGCTTCCATTTGGCTCCTCCTGATATTTTAGGCTTTATTTCGAGGGTCAAGGAACCGATGTGGAGATTCTGCCAGGTACTAAGTGTATCTGTTCTCACTACACATCTCGGAACCCGGGAACGAGCACAAGATGGGTATCCAGTCCCGGTGGGCCCAACAGTAGACACTATGGCCGAGACTACATCCATGGCCTGACCTCCATGTACTCCTGCTCTGACAGGTGGACCTTGGTGGTAGTTCAGGTCTCTGAAGCTCAGTCAAGCTCAGAGCAGGGCTTGATAACCCTTCAAAGGTATGGATATTTCAATTTCCCTGGGGCCAGAGGTATGTTTTCCATAAAATTAATGAAATTTAAGCTTCAAGGCCTCCCACTTACTAAGGCCCTGGTGTTCACGTGATCATATGCTTTTATAAAATTCACAAACATAAGATACACTTTTTTTCTAGTTGGACTTCTTTGAGATATAATTTTACACACGATAAATTGCACAAGAGTAAGGTATATTAACTGTAATCCCTGTCTGTTTCTACCCTCTACTCCCCTCTCTCACGCCATCCACAAGGCACTAGAATGGTTGTGGGCATTTTGGGGCTCCGTCTGAGGGGAAGTTGAGCTGGTGCTGCATCAGTGTGGGTTTATTGAGATATTTTTATGTAGATACTTGTATGCAGTTCACAGTCACTGCTGTTTGTAGTTAAGTAATTGGTAGCCATTCTGGTGTAGGAATGACCTCCAAAAATACTCCCCCACCTACTGTGCTGATCGCCCAGTGCTGCAACTCAAAGGTGCAGGTTATAAGTGGTCTGCAAACATGAACCTGGCGGATAGTCCTTGGCACTGGAGGTACGTGGGTAACAGAAGGGAACCAGGCTATGAAATGTACAGAGCCAGAAATCAAACTATGGAAGACACTTCCAAATCTTACAGCTCATATGTGAAAGCAACTTAATAGAGGTTTCCCTAACATTGACAACAATCCTAAAATTTTACATTTCCAATAACATTTTGGAAGCTGAAACTTTTCTAAACTATACATTAAGAACAATAACAGCTTTTAACTATGCCAGAAGACTAAATTATCTTTCAATTCTTCATATAAAAAATGACGTTACAAAATTGTTGCATAAAAGACAATCAAAAAATTTTACAGCCAAAAAATGTAGGAAATTTAGAGATATGTTAGGCAGTTAATTAACAAAAATATGATGTCATTTTCTGGACTTTGTGTTTTTGGTATTTGTTTTTAAAATATATAATTTGTTTTGAATTTTTTTCTCAGTTTAAATATTTACTTTCTTTACAATTTATTCTTAATATTGTGTTATTTTATTAAAAGGTGATCCCTCAGATTTTATCAGTCTCAGGGACCCAAAACTTGCATCTGCCCCGGCCGGTACATAGTCACCAGTGTGGGAAATTGCTGTAGATCTCTCTGTGTGTGGAGGGAGGGATTAGGGGAAGAGTTACAGTTCACCTGTGGCTGCATTTCCTAAAGGGGCCTGGCCTGTCTCTTAGGCCAGAGGCCCTGGGCTTTCGCACTGGCTTAGGTCTGGGACCTGGGTAAGAGATCGTGAATTCCTACTTGTCAGAGGAAAAAAGACACACTCAAAAGTGTTTTTTCTGTTTCTCTCGCTCAACAACAACAACCAACAGGGAAGACTTATGTGACCAAATATGTGAGGGTTTCTCCCCACCAATAGCAAGCAAGCAACCCTGCAGGGGACACCAGCTGAGAATCCTTTGATTCAATTCTGACACGAATTCCCTCACCCCCCAACCCCCACCACCTCTGGAACATCTGATCTACTGCGGTAAATCTGGGATCCCACGACCTCCTCTTTGGGTTCGATGAGTTTGCAGGAGCGGCTCACAGCACCCAGAGAAACACATTTGCCAGGATATTACAGGCCGGGCGTGGTGGCTCACGCCTGTAATCCCAGCACTCTGGGAGGCTGAGGCGGAAGGACTGCTTGAGCTCAGGAGTTCGAGACCAGCTTGAGCAAGAGCAAGACCCCCGTCTCTACTAAAAAAATAGAAAGAAATTAGCCAGACAACTAAAAATAGAAAAAATTAGCCGGGCATGGTGGCACATGCCTGTAGTCCCAGCTACTTGGGAGGCTGAGGCAGAAGGATCACTTGAGCCCAGGAGTTTGAGGTTGCTGTGAGCTAGGCTGACGCCGAGGCACTCTAGCCTGGGCGACAGAGTGAGACTCTGTCTCAAAAAAAAAGGATATTACAAAGGATACAGATGAAGAGATGTGTAGGGCGAGGCATGTGGCAAGGGGCACAGAGCTTCCATGCTCTCCCTGGGGGGAACCTCCCCAGGTGCGGCTGTCAGGAAGCTCTCCAAGCCCCGTCCCTTTGGGCTTTTATGGAGGCTTCATTACGTAGGCATGACTGATTACACCACTGGCCACTGGCGATCAACTTAACCTTCAGCCCCTCTCCCCTCCCCAGGGGTTGGGATTTGGGGCTGAAAGGCCCAACCCTCTAATCCTGCCTTGGCCTCTCCTATGACCGGCTCACATCCTGAAGCTACCTAAGGGCTGCCAGCCCTCAGTCAACCCATTAGCATACAAGAAGACATCACTTTGGGGTCTCTAAAGATTTTAGGAATTATATGCCAGGAAACAAGGTCAAAGACCAAACATATATTTCCCAGTATCACACCACTGCAGTGGCTTGATTTAGGCTTTGTTCCACCAGACCCAGAGTGTTTCATCCTACCTATACCTATGTCAAGCAGCACTTCAGAAGGTTGCAGTATCTTAGTAGAGACCCAGTGATCAACGAGCCATGACCACAGATCCACATGGTTCAAAACACTCATGGTGGAGGACTCACATGTGAATGCAGGGGAAAAACTAAAAAAGTCCCCCAAGAAGAAGATGAAAATGGAAGCCAGCGCCATAGCATTGGAGCTGGAAGATGAGGTCAAAGATGCTTCCGACAGCGAAGGTTCTACAGGAAGCTGTGAATTGGAAAAAGATCATTTTTCTTCTGATGATGAAGCAATAGAAGCTGACAACAAAGATGATGTTGAACCCTATAATGAAAACGAAAATACTGCAGAATCCAATGTTGAGACTAATATGGGCTGGGCATATGCCATGGCTAAAATCCTTAACAAAAAAATTCCTGTAGGTAGACGCACCATTCTGATCAGAAACAAAGCGCTGGAAAAGGAAAAATTAAAGTTAAAGCAAGAAAGACTAGAGAAGAGAAAACAGCGTGATAAGAGGCTGGAGTGGGAAACGATGCACAGAGTAAAGCCAGATGTTGTCAAAGACAAAGAAACTGAGAGAAATCTTCAGAGAATTGCAACAAGGGGTGTGGTGCAATTATTTAATGCTGTTCAGAAACGTCAAAAGAATGTGGATGAAAAAGTTAAAGAAGCTAGGAACTCTATTAGAAAACGTTGTAAGTTAATATCAGCTGTTTCCAAGGAAGATTTCATCAGTGTTTTGAGAGGAATGGATGGAAGTACAAATGAGACGAGTTCAGCTGGGAAGAACCCAAAAGCTAAACAGGCTGAAGTGAAATCAGAAGAGGGTCCAGGTTGGACTATCCTACGTGATGATTTCATGATGGGAGCATCCATGAAAGACTGGGACAAGGAAAGTGACAAGGAAAGTGATGGGTGAGATGACAGCAGACCAGGATCCGCAAGTGACTCTGATACATAACGCAACGTAGGAGACACAATTTGCAACCATTTTATTTTTCCTAGAAAAATATTTGCTTCTCTCATAGTTGGGGAATTAAAAGGATACCATTTGTAAGAAAGCCAAAAGACTTTTACCAGCTTTGGTAAAGGAGGAATATCGGTATTCCCCCTTTTCATGTAAATCTTATTAAAATTATAT